ATCTGACTTTCCCGCCCACTTCTTGAGAAGCTCTCAGATAGCTCAGGGGAGAAGAGAAAAGCACCTGGGCCACAGCCTTGGCTGACAGGGTGACGAGCTAATCCTTCACTACTCTGCTTTGGGTCTTACCCACATGCATCTAATTTGGTCCAGGAACCAAACTCTTGGAAAATATTTGAAATGAGACCTTTTTTAAAAAAAGACCTGTAATATTTTTTAGGACAATATGTCAATTCCAAAATGTTCCTTCTCAGATAAGTCCAGGCAAGCATCAACAGAGAAATGTAAATAAAAAATAGAAATAAATAGCCTTATGACCCAGTGACTTCACTTCTGGGGATTTATCCCAATAAACCCGAAACACTGACTGGAAAGAATATATGCACTCTTATGTTCACTGCAGTGTTACTTATTTACAATAGTCAAGCTATGGAAGCAGTCCAAGTGCCCATCAGTAGACAAGTGAGTAAAAAAGCTGTGGCACATACATACTATGGAATATGACTTAGCCATAAAAAGAATGGCATCTTACCATTTGGACCTAGAGAGTATTATGCTAAGTGAAGTCAGTCAGTCAGAGAAAGACAAATACCATATGATCTCACGTATATGTGGAATCTAAAGAATAAATAAATGAACAAACAAAATTGAATCAGACTCATAGGTACAGGAGAGAACTGGTGGTTGCCAGAGGGGAGGGGACTGGATGAAACAGGTGAAGGGACTAGAAACACAAAGTGGCAGCTACAGAACAGTAACAGGGAATACAGTCAGCAATATTGTGACAGCCATGAATGGTGCCAGGTGGATACTGAAAATACCAAGAGGAACCCCATGTAAAGTATATGACTGTCTAACCACTAAGCTGTACACTTAAAACCAATACATAATTTAAAAAAAAGAAATAAGTCAATTATTTAACCCAGAATGCCACAGGGAGAAGGTAGCCAAGGGAATCTCCACCATCCGCTAACACCTGACTCCGGCCTTCCCTCCCCTTTGCTCCTTCCAGCCCTCACCTCTGGGAATAATCTGGAAGCCTCTATGAATCTACTCCCCTCCAAAAACATCCTCACCCTTAGAACCAGAGGGGAATAAACAGAGAAGTTATGCAAACATAAATACAATAAAGGACTTGGAATCTAGAGCAATTGCCCAAGTTCATCTGGGGTTTGGGATAAAAAAGTCCACCAATAGTCAACTTAGGACACCTCAAAACAGTCCCTCTGGCAGGTAACAACGAAATAACTCTCCGCCCAGTTACAAAGCCACCAGTGATCAGAGTGGGAAAGAGGTCTGAACAGAACTTACTGAAGTCTTTCTACTCAGAGGACATGAGATTCATGAGGCCCTTCAACTGATTCTAAAACAGGGGGAGGGGCGGAGGCAGGACAAAAACATCAGAACATCCAAGGGCATCCAAAGGCAAAGGAAACCTAGAAGGTGAGCTTGGTGAAATACCTTTTAAAAATTATTTTTTATTTTACTATATGACCCTTTTATTCCTAACGCAGACTGTAAGAGGGCAGCCCAGTGGAAAGAAAAAAAATCCCTGGCAAGAAACGGCTTGTCCGAGGGGCACCAGGCAACTCACACAAACAGCTGAGCTCTTCCACTTGGCAAGATGTCAGCATGTGCACATCCTGGTAGTGAGCAAGTCCCTGGTAAGCCACCTGCAGCCAGCTGCGTCACGGCTAGTCCTCAAGGTGGCCCAGGTGCCCATCTCCCCAGAGCACAAACCCAGACTCGGCCATAGGAATCCAAGCACCCTGAAGACACCAAGGACAGTGGAGCCGGCAGGCAGGCCAGCAAAGACGTGCATTCTGTTCTCTGGCCTACCTTCCTCCCCTCCTTCTCCCCTGCCTCCATCCCTGGCCCCCTACCAAGGGGAAAGAGCAAAAAGTGAAAGCTGACTCTTCATGAAAAGTGACCAGGAAACCAGAGGCCCGGGGCAGCCATGAAGACGACCTGTAGAACTTTGACAGATCCCTGCACCTTATGGGTGGTTTGGGGTTTGTCTGATTCCTTCTCCATCCCCAGGAACTTTGTCCTAACCGCTCCTCCTGCACCTTCCCCTCAGCAGCTGCAGGCTTCAGATCCTACTCATCAGCACTGCTCACTCAGGTCCCAGAAACAGATTG